GAAGTGGAAATTTTTATAAACAAATAAATAAATTAATTAAAAAAATGCAAAAAAGAGTTGAAGACCAGAACTCCCAGAACCTACTTGCATGAGTGTGTGTGTGCATGTGAGTGTGCATATGAGTGTGCATGTGAGTGTGCATGTGAGTGTGTGTGTAATTCCGATATTCACGAGACAAGATGGGGTGTATAGAGACAAGGGAAGAGTATAAGAGAACTTCCTGGAATCTGTCAGGCCAACTAGCCCAGCTTATCCAAAGGTACGGAAAGAACCCTGCCTCAGAGTGGAAGCTCAGGGCGGATGCCTGGCTTGTCCTCCTACAGCCACATGTATGCCATAGCTGTCTAGCTGTGCACTCCTCCCTCCCTCCCAAAGAAACAAAGAAAGGACCTTAGTTTAGTATTGAAGATTCTTTCTAATAAGTACAAAAAAAAAATTTTTTTTAAACCCACTGGTAATACCAGTGTAGTAACTGACTTCAACAGGGTTCATCAGTGGAGAGAATGGCAGTGTTGTATGCCAGTTGCCATAGTAACGAGTGATCAAACTATGACCATAACAGGACTAACCGACATCACCACCTCCTAGCATGATGGGAGGGCCTGCACAGGGACACCTGCGTACCATTTGTGCAAGAGTATCTCAATGGAACCTGATTTTTTTTAAAAAAAAAGAAAGAAAGAAAGAAAGAAAGAAGGAAAGAAAGGAAAGGAAAGGAAAGGAAAGGAAAGAAACAATTAGATAAATTCAGATACTAAATGTCTGAACTTGACGGCATTGTTTGAATATTTAAGTCATGAAAAGAAGAAGAAGGATGCTGGAACAGTTCCGGAGGTTTCAAAGTTTCAAGTTAAACATCGAGCGTGCAGACTCAGTGAGTTCTGAGGGCGAGGACGGACTGAAGATGCCGGACGCACGGCTCCTGGGTCAGATTCAGAAGTCAGCTAAAGCCTGGTTTCTAGCCTAACATGGAGCATGCGCGCCACGGTACATTGTGTAGGGACACCTCCCACTTAGAAGTGCCTTTTCATAGACTCTGTTTCTTTCCAAGGAGCCCATTTCTCAACTCATTTAAGCATTTCCAGTGTTCACACACAGCTTGTTTCATCTGCTTTTACTGGTTGTTTAGTTTTAACTCTGACTTACACTTTCTTTCCTCATAATGACCCAGGGCTGACAGAGGGCAAAGTTCAATGTTAAATACCCCTAACTAGGAACTGTCAAACTCAGTTTTAAACCCTCCAATCTGCAAGATATTTGGACCTCCTTAGAGATGGTCGCACCGACCTGTACTTAACCTGATTCCAACTGTATTTGCTTTTGGTGTCTTTCCCCACGCGCGTTTTGAAATCACCTGGAATCTATCAGCCTTTCCCTGGATTTCCCGGACAAGACAACTCCTGTCACCGGCAAGTTCGCGCAGCTCGTGTCCGTGTCAGCCCGGCCTTCTCAGTCCCCGGAACAGCTGACAGCTGTGACTTGTGCTTGTCCCCACCAGGAGCCTCCCACAGGCCACTATGGGCACTGCAAAGGCCACCCCAGGGACAGGGATGTGACAGCCTGGGGCTCTGGCCACCAGGGAGGGGCAGGGAGAAACAGTCAGCGTGTCTGAGGAGAG